TATATAAAAAAACCTACATAAATTGTTCTTTCATGTATATAACAATTATTCTTGTTCTTATGGACGGATACAAACACTTTTTAGATATTTTATTCTAGTCGCGTAATTTATAAAAATTCTAGTATTTTACAATAAGCACTAGGATTTTAAAAATTCATTAATTATTAACTTAATAATCATATATGCAAATGGCATTTTGTTACGCTATATTCAGAATACAGATGTAACACTAATAATTTGATTTGCAAATACATTCATATGTATAGATATCCCATAATGTTGTTAATAAGTATATATAATTGTATAAAAAGTAAATTAATTACTAACAAATAGATTTTTGCACATTATTTAGAATAAACAGTTAAAGAATATTAAATATGTCAAATTTTTATAAAAGTAGTATCAATTATTTTCATCTCACATATGCCTATTAAATTATTACATTGTATTTCTCATAATTTTCAGAACTCTGTATAAAATAGTCTTTAAAAATTGTAACTTAATTTCATATGGCATTGTATGTGAGAATAAATAAGTTGATCTTATAAAAATAATGCGATTATAAAAATCTAGATATAAAAAATAAATTAAACGTTTATCGGTTTGTATAATGGTAACTTAATTATTAAACAGCTGTTTGTGGTACTCCCTGTACTAAAAGCGTCTTACTTTTAGCTTTCGGCAGTGTAGATTGACTCATTGTTTTCGTTAGCTTAGGCTGACCATTAGGCGAGCTTGTAACAAAACCCTCCGATCTCATGTCTTTCAATGAGACATTAGAACTGCTATGTAATGAGGGTGTAGAATTAAATTTTCTGTTATGTGCTAAACGTTCTTGTAGTTTTGTTTCGTTCTGACGTGGTATTCTGGACTTTATTGGTACATCACGATATTCGTATATATTTTCTTTTGATGCACGTGTTATATTCTCGATTCCCTCGGAATGCTCATCCTCTCGTACCATCAAGATGTCTCCGCTATAGTAGTGATCAGATTGTCTGCAAAAAGAATAATATAGAAAGATATTACATTTATTTTTACATAAATTGCATATATAAAATATAAATAAAAATAAGAGTTATAATTGTACATTCTCTATATTATTTATTTATTGTAGTTAAATCTTTCTCTATTTATATAAATAGTGTAATGTAACTATAGACAAATAATATAGTGCCACTATATTATTATATAAGCAAATATATGTAACAGGCAAAATATTGTGCAAAATTGTGTGCATGAAATATTTTTTTCATAAATACCTGCACTTGTTCTAGCTGCTTTTGTTTTGCTAATTGTAAGCAGAAATAGAGTTAATCAGCAATTTATATTTGGAAATGGTTATGTGAAAGAAAGATAAAGAAACCGTATTCCAATTGTGTATCCATGAACCAGAACCAGTTTCTGCATGCACTACCGGTCGGTCGCAGCGAGTGCCACCGAGTTATATTGCAGTTACATGGATTTGGTTCTGTTTACCTTTTCTTACCTTTTGGCATTACGCCAAAGCATACAGCACACCACAGAGAGTACAAGTAGCAGCAAGCATGCCGTTGACATTGACCAAAATGCGATTTGCAGCGGCTGTTTAGGTTCCCACCAATACTGTAACAAAAATTGTAAATAATAAGTACAACTGTGATTTAATAATAATATAAAACATCTCACAAATATACTATTTAACAGAATCTTACTTCCGTAACAGGAGGATATGTAGGAACAAGATAACCGATAACAGTCGGCAAATACATGGACCAGAACGCGCTCTCTGTTTGACGATAATTTATTTGAATAGAGCTATTGAATGTTGTATTGATATTGAGATATCGTAATTGTCCATGACGAGCGAGATCAAAATGCAATCCCAATATTTGTGAAGGCGTCGGATTTCTAAAATAAATAAAATAAATCATTTCAATTTTTTATAATGCCATATAGGCAACTAGAAAGCAGTATTACTAGATACATACCCATATGTTGCAAAATTAGAGTATGCCTCCATGAAAAAGCGACTCATATTACGATCATTGTCGGTCCACATGTCTCGACTTAATTTCCACTTTTGTGGGAAAAATTCTGCATTAATAATATTTTGTATTAATAGATACTATAATTTTAATTATAGATGTATGTATAGAAGAACATACCAGAATCCATAAATGGTGCGCCTGTTAGCCACAAAAGTTCTGTATCATGAGGTACTCTAGCCCATTCTGGCGAATTGAGCGCTTCTATCGAGGTATTTAGAACATACAGATAGGTTGGTACGTGTCTCTCCACTAAGAGTTTTGCTATTTTATCATATGGTGCAACATAATGGAAGTCTGATAAGAGCTAAAAATATTAATAACAATTAAGATAAAGATAATCATGTTATATAACAGAAATTTTTTATTTTTGGTACTATTGTATCATACTTACATTTATATACTGATCACGTATGTGCGTAACATTCGTTGGATCCGGCCAATACGTATACATATATTGTATTGCTTCATAAACACCTTGTGGATTTAGAGTGTAATTATATTGCAGAACTAATTCCCAAACCTTTTGATCGAATAGTTCAGAATTTATTATGTATCGATTTCTCGCTAATGTAATATTATTCTCTGCAATGTAAGAATTATATAAAATAATATATATTTACAATAATTTATAGTGCAATAATATATAATTGACTAAAGTAAATAATAGTAAAATTTTAGATGTAAGGAGATATAAACATAATGAAATAGAAATAAGTGAGTTAATGGATAACATACTTATAATAAATGCTGCTTCCTGAGTTGTGACACCAGCCATATAAGCTATATCCTTTCTATATTTATGATCTTTAATACTCTTTTCCGGTGTTTCTGCGAAAAAACGCCAGTCAGATGCCCTCCAATCCTCGTACCAATCATCTTGAGGTATTGTAAAGTTGAAATCTAGTACAGGTGCCCATGGAAACATCCCAACATGTGGTTTTAATTCAGAATTTGCTAATTCGAGGAAACTACGTCCGTCCTTTAGACATTGCACCAATTTCCAACTGCTCTCTATACTGCAGCCGAGCATTTCTGCATACACTCGAGATGTATTTTGTGCTCGGTACTTATCTATTATCACTGCCCAATCGGCTAGAGCTGAACCTGACTGCGCTATTACTTTTGATACCATATGTCGAGTTCTGCAAAATAAAAAAAAAATGCAATTTCAATATTTAATTACAAAATATATATAAAAATAATCTCAATTACCTAGGCGCAACCATTAATAATCCTGCACTCGCTGCTCCAGCACCTGGTCCAAAGAGTGTTATAGAATCAGGATTTCCATTGAAAGTGGCTATATTGTCGTATACCCATCGTAATGCCATTGCTTGATCAAGAATTCCATAATTTCCAGGGCTATTCTCATCTCCAGTACTTAAGAATCCTAGAAATACAATGAAATAAATTAATTTGTTGATTGATGCAATGCTTCAAAGACTTTACATTATTCTTTTTAGTCACTTACTTACCAAGAGCGCCAAGGCGATAATTAATTGATACTACTACAACATTATAGAAAGCAGCTAGCATATGAGCTGGAAACAAATTACTAGCCCCATGAGTGAACTCGCCACCGTGTATATAGAACATTACTGCATATTTGTTTGCTAATCCAGAACCAACCTGGCATAAATGCAAAATTTTAGTCGATTTATTTAAAACATAAATTTTATATTTTTTTATGGATTTGGTGCACTTACAGAAGGTGTAAATATATTTAAATACAAGCAATCTTCATCAACATCCCGCACACCTTTTGTAGCACCAGTATATTCGCTAGGCTGGGGACAAGCAGGTCCCCAATCAACAGCTTGTAAAAGTTGCCATCCTCTAAACAGAAATAAATGTTGTTTCTTAGCACAATATTATTGAATGTTAAGATAGTAAAAAATATGAAATATTTTATATTAACCTGTGCGGTCTGGGAGGTTTGAAGCGGCCTTCTTTGATAGGTGGCATAGCATAGGGAATACCCAAAAATACATTGACACTTTTTGTGACTCTTTCCACTGCCATATTCCAAGGCCTATGCCTTGCATTTGGGTCGTCATACAACTGAACTTTAAAGCCTTGAACTTGACCATAATTTGTAACCACAATTATGTTTCTGTCTCTGAAATTTTTAGAATCTGCTCTTTCTTTCCCTTGAAGATCTTCGCGCCAGCCACCCAATATTCCTGGTAATGGAAGCCTTGGTGTTGTCTCCTTTAATAATTTTATTTTATTAGATATATCTTACATATGTCTTATGTATAAAAAGATTAGAGAAGATTATAGAAATTTTTTGTTAGATTAATCATATACAAGTAAAATGAATACATATGCTCTCTTTCTCTCACACATATATAAAATCTGTATAAATGCTAATCAATTAATCCTAAAAAAAAACATCTTGATATCGTTTAAATATCTTTTCACACGACACATGCATCAGTAACACGAGTCTCCTCACTCACATCGTAAAGATACCGATCCTCGGGTGCCCTCGTAGCTCCTCTGTAAATAGGGTCCAGGTAACTAGGTTGATAGCCGTACCTTCTGTCCTTATATACATAGGTCCTGTAGCCGGACGCGTCTTGCGGTACATATACACCGTCACGATTATAGTATCGGCTACCAGGCAAGTTACTGTCTTGGGCGAACGCGACGATGTCCGTCAGCAGCACATAGAAATAGCAACAAACAGCAACGCGTCCCATGGACGCGTGTTGTTTACGAACAGCCATTCTTCGCGCAGGTGTGACTGAGAACGTCACGTCAAGTTGTCACTCTCCGTCACGAGGAAACGCAGCAAACTCTTTGTTGCTTTGCGGTAAACGAAAACGAGATAAAAGTGAAAGTTTCTTCGTTGGTTCCCGCACAGATCGACAATTTCCTTACCGATTATCGACGAAGAATGAGAGAGACGAAGTACAGGCGTGCATTACATGGACGTGCGTACGATTTCGCACTCCCAACGAATTTCAACGCGTCGTTGTTACGAAACGTTTGCACGCGCGCTTGAAAGCGTCCCTGCACGGCCAACACCCTATCGTCCCCCCGTCACGTTTGAACGTATATCTCAGGTGGCTCCGTCGCGTTCGCCGTGCGTCGTGCCCTTTTCTCTCCCCGTTCTCCACCTCTTCCAGAAGTCGATAATACAAAATGTCACGATCGGTGCTGCAAGAAGTCCAAAGGTGGGATTAATAAACAGAGTATGAAAGCAAATGAGAGACACGAATATATGGTATACGCGTCAATAATTACACATTAAAACCTGATGTGTGTATGTGATTTAAATATAAAAAATTGCGCCGCCTCATTAAAATTATATTGATGATGGATGAATTAATAAATATACAAAAGGCTATATAAATATTATTTTATAGAATATTTTCGATAATTTTTTTTTTATGAATATAGTAATAGTCTTTGTTGAAACTTAAAAATTACGAACGACAACAAAAATTAATTATGCAATTTAATTAATCTTAATGTTAAAAATGTCAAATGCGCGATACTATAAAATATATACATATATATTGTGGAGATATAATTTGATAGCGAACAAAACTTGTATAACACATACAGCTATTTTTATGTTCTCTGATTATATAGTTATATATTTCGCTCTTAATAGTAACGTTACAGAGAAAAGATGACGTGTGTAAGATGCGTTGATAGATTCATTCATGAATCACACACCTTCCGTTATCTTGCCATGAGAAGTCGAGATTAAGATCGCCTACGCGAGTACCGCGCGCTCGGAACCGAAGAATTACGTGAAAATGTGCGTATAAACTTGCTACTTGGCTACTATCTCGCACTGTTTGCCAACTACGATAGGTGTAATGTTGCGAAGGGCAGTGGCCGGACCCTACTAAGTCGTAATGATGCCGTCGCGTGCATATATGTCGCCGCAATGGGTCGGCAATGAGCCACCCACGCGCCTGACAGCCAGCGGCCCGTTGCAAAAAGCACCACCGAGGCACGATCGAGCGGATGTGCATGATCGCGGAAGAACGCAGATGAAGGGATAGAGGAAATAACATAGCGGTGGATTACCTATATTTTGAGCAAACTACATGTATATGCACATATAGATAAACAAGATAATAGTATTAATTGTCCTTTAAAATGTTATTTAAATATAAATTTAAAATGTTATAAAAGCAAATAAGATTTAATGATATAAATTTATTAACTAATTGTTTTAATTTGCAAGTGGCTAAATTTATTATTTACAGAATGTTTTATTAAATTATTGAGTGACGCGATAGAGCGTTTTTCTTATTATTGTTAGTCATTTATTTTTCTATACAATACAAATTTTCCAAAATATCCAACTATCTCAATACATTTCGGGCACCTTATGTACAAGATGAAAATATTAGTAAATATTTAACGACAATATATAATATATTCGATTTATATAGTTCCCACTTCCAAAAAAATATACATTAAAACAATACCTTTTTTTTATTGGATAAATACAATTTACACAAAAACTTACACAAATTTGATGCACCAGTTTTTCTCAACCATCTTTGAATTATTCATATTCCTAATTGTAATTTACCAATTAATTTAATAATTGTATTCATTGGTCATTATAGTATATTACAGAAATGCGGGCGACACACGCATACACACGCATAAAACTTGGCGAAATATATTATCATAAGCGACAGTCTCTCGCAGAATCACTGCATGATTTTTCACGCTGAAAGCTTTTCCATTAATATATTTTTTGCACAATTTAATGCTTAACATACATGCACACATATTCTCTTTCTCTTTTTGAGAATAAATTCTATTACTCTATTTTTTATTTGAGAGAACTTCAATCTAACTTTTTGGCACGCTAATGATATTCTAATTAAATAGTTCTAATTGACAATTTTCCAACTTTTACGATAATTGTCTCATCTTATACTTTCTTATATTTCGTTTATAAAACGACTCGTTCCACTAGCGAACGATCAATTTATTTTAGCTAATAAAATCATGAGTCATAAAGAGAGAGAGGAAGAGAGGAGAGACGAGTCGCAGCATGATTCATACGAGAGAAACATACATTGAGGCAACTTTTGCTTTATATTTTGACATAAATCGACAACAGTTTTAAAAACAGCTTAAAAACAAATCTACGAAGCAGATTTGGATGAGAGATGCGACATTGAACATTGTAATAAACCTTGAAAAGTCAATTTATTCCTATCATGCGCATCTATCGCTGATTAATTCAATGATTGGAAGGCCCGTGGAATTTGCGGCGTTAAAGAACAATTTTTTAAAATAAAGACGAAAGTGAAACCAATTCTACAATCAATTTATCAACTTTAGAAGTGATTAAAACAAACAACAGCTTGAAATACCAAAATTAAGAGATAACAAAATATTTTTGTATAAAAAATAGAAAGAAATTTTTAATTATATTATAATTTAAATATCATTTTATTCTCATACAAAAAAAATATAAAATATATAAATAAAAACTTCCGTACAAGCAATTGTACATTCATTTCATGTAATTAATCATCAATCATAATAAAAGTAATATTTACTCTTATATTATTTTAAAATAATTATCTCCATGGTTTTACGTGTGTTTTTATTTTATGACAAGAAAGTTAAAAGGAAAGGGTTAAAAGATTGTTTTCTCCTATCTTTCTACTTTGTGAAAAAAATAAAATCGAAATCATATAAAGCATAAAAATCCGAGCTTAACAACTAGCTCAATAATTGTAACTCTATCATAACTATCTGTAATTTCAATGTCTTATATTTAATGTCACATTTAATGCTATGGCCCAAATATAACATTCTAATCTTATCTACTTAATTTTTTCCACTCAAATTCATAAGTGAAAGAGAAAGTATTAAATAGTCGTAGTGTCATAATAAAATGTGCTATGTATGGCTATGTGTATACTTATTATTCATCACTGCAATAATTTTGATATCTAGTATCATAGCAAGAAAAAACTATTGTTGATAAACATGGAGCTATATGAGCGAACTGCTCATTGCGAAATACATCCGTTCACGCGATGACATTCTTTTGCAAGGGCGTGCAAATTAAAATTTATAATGGAAAAGAGAAGATAAGCTAGGTTATTATTTCTTCTATAATCATTTTCCATTGATCTTCATTATTTTCTATGAAAAAGTAGAATATTAAAATATTTTTAAAAATCGAATTCACGTATTATAATCCATAAACGATCAATCAATTATTATTGCACATTCACAATTAAAATTATAATTCAAATAAAAATTCTAAAGCTCATTTTATAAATAATTGTAACATTGCATATATATTTTTTATGAATACGGTATATATCCAAAAATTATACAGACTTCCTACTATATTAATTTCAATAATATACTAATTGTTTCAATCAATATAATTTAAATCATATCAATATAATCAAAGTATTTAATAACCAATAACGGACGTAATTGATTGTTGTTTTTATAAAATCATTTATCTTTTGATGACATTTAACTGCAATTAAATATAGATCCGAATTATTCAGTATCTGAGAAAAAGATTCCAAACACGTATGCTCAAATAATTATACAATTTTCATAGAATTTTAAGTTCAATAAGTAATAAGGTAAATCGTAAAGATATCGGTTAATATTTAAACATGCGTACAAAGTAAACGTTCGCCAGCATCGCACTGAGGATAAAACGCGAATACCCTTTCTCTCTCGTATCTTACTTCCCTGCGCCTAAGTTCTTCAATTTACAGTAATTGGTAAATTTATTACTGTTCCACAGGCTCGCAACTTTACTTATTCGTCTGTACAGTCCCAGTAAAGAGTTAAATAGCTTTAATTACTGCCAGTTATTGTACTATCCTATCTTTGGAGTTATCAAGTTGACGAAGTCTCATCTTCTCACTGGCCGAGATCAAATTTATTAGATGTTAAAATTTGACGAAAATGAGATAGCGATAAAATATCAAGCATTTTATTTTAAAGAAAGCGTAAGTAATATCTACAAATAATAATAATAATATTTACAATATTACATAAAAATAATAATAATATCTACAAATTTGAAAACTTGCTTCAAAACATTTTTATTGTATACAAACATATAGAAGTTCAATTTAAAAATTACAGGGTTTAAAAAACAAATGGGTTATAATAAAATCGAAAGATGGAAAATGGAGAATGGAATTATATGATCCGTATATTTTCTATTTGAAAAATTATATTTAGTTAGCTTATAAAGATTCTATCTAGCAAGGAAGAAATAATTTATTCAATTGAGAAAAGGTATTATAGAAGATTTCTGTATTATAATTGAGAATAGTTTGTGATTGGAAATATTATACACGTATGTCACTTACAATTAGAATTGGCAAAAATTGGATAGCTTTTCTATCAAATCTCTTCACACATTTTCGCGATATTCCTTTTATAATCATTACATTGACATACAGTCCTGAAAATTTGCATTTCTATATCGGAATATTGGAACTGACATAAACCAGTTTATGATACTTTATTCTTTCACGCGCGAATACGGGCACTATGTAAATAATAAATTCGCATGACTTTCTGCCGAATCATTTCGACCTGTATTCTTAACTTTATCGATCGCGTTTTTAATACGAAGAATCAATGCAATTTTGTGTAACGCGATCTTCGAGGTGGTCATTTACGTCCGACATTCGCCTGTAAAATTTGTCTAAATGTACGCTATTATGCTCGTTGTTCATGCCCCGTCGTGCGTACATCCCTTTTTTGTGGGAACATGGACATTATAGTCCTCTTTGAACTCGTGGGAATAAGACCCACCACTGAGTCAAGTATATACGCGGTAGTTTATTTATTTAGTTTCTTTTTATTATGCGCAGACTCCAACATACACGTTGGTGCGTGCGTGTACGAATAAAAGCTCGCAGCTAATGATGCGCGCGTTTAAGCTTAAGTACTTTAACTAAAGGTAATACACGCGATGCTATTCTTAATAGTTTTTATTAGAGCACTCGATTCGTTTTCTTACATTCGTCATATACATTATTTTGTGTGTATATTAAGCATATATTAAGCACGTTTTATACAGATGAATAATAAAAATGGCGCTATTTAATAATTATCGTGCAGGTAACAATATTTTTGCATCAATTCTATATTAAAATTCTGCAGATTTATGCTGAATAATGATTTATATTCGAAAGCGTAGTTCATTAATTGAAATAAAATAAAAAACATTAGTGATGAATGAATTCTCTTTTGATAATTAACATTTTTTCATATACATGAAGAAGAGTTTAGCTTATCTTTTTATAACATTTTATAATTTATAATTTATATAATATAATCTCAATGATGTACGTTTTTTGCGTTTGTAAGTACCAATGAAAATTCGCGAGTAATTTATGAAATATCAAATATTACATTTAAACATTTCTAATTTAATAAATAAAAATAGTTCATTATCACATCTACTTTTGTATGTTAAACAACTTTCTATTATTAAAATCTAATAATTGATAATTTTTACTCTTCATAGATCATATTAATAATATATAATATAGTGACAGTAAAAATAGATTTGGAAATATAAAAAAAAGCTTTATAAAGCATATATAAAATAATTTTTTAAATAAATAGCTTGTTTTTTATAATCAAAAAAAAATCATTATTCAATTACAAAAATCAACGCATTTTATAATTATTATACGAAGTTAAAGTAAGATCAAAAATAGCAGTGCATATCCAGTATTTTAAAAAAAAGAGATCAAAGGGTTTTTAAAGTTTTAGACATTACCCGTGTTCAGTAGTAGTAGTGGCAATGGTGGTGTGATGTGGAGGAGCTCGACGCGCAGCTCCACAGATGCACCGACATATCGGGCATAATGATCGAAGAGTGGGGGTGGTGAGGTGGTGAACGCGCGCTTACGCTCCGCAGGGCCCACTTGTTCGCCACTGCGTTGGCTTGCCACTCGCGAGCGCGTTGCCGGTGCGACAACATCGGATACATCCTCTTTCGGCCGCGCTCACGATTTCGGATTTGTTTCATTCGAGAAATTCGCCGGGAACTGTCACGAATGTCACGGTACCTTGAGAGAAGAAAGATCAGTTCTTGAGTTTCCATCGAGAAAATTCACAATAGCGAATCGCGCCCGATCAGTGTGATCGCGTTTTTCTCGATCGACATTAACGTAAAAGTGCTTGTGAGAGTCACATCTCTGAAAGAACATGTTCTGAGAACGAAAGCACATCCCGTCGTGTCGTTTTATTTTCTCTCCTATCAGTGATTGAGCAACCAACGAAACCGAGAATGACGACCGAGTCTTTGGCGCGCGAGGTCGACTCGCACATCGTCACCATCCTATCCAGGCTATCGGCCCTTCGGGAGAACAACGCCGAAGTCGTTGACAGAAAACCACCCATGTCCATCGAGGCTCGCAGTTTAGAGTTATGGCGAGCGGTGGCTGTCGAGTGCTTTGCCACTTTCTTCTTTAGTCTGGTGGTGGCCGGTGCAGCCGCTGCCTCTGCCGTGTCCGGAAGTGGTCTCTCTGTATTAGCCACCGCCGTAGCTTCCGGCTTTGCCATCGCCGCTATTTCTCTCATCTTTAGCCATATCAGTGGTAAGAATATTATCGTTTTTTTTTTTTTTTTTTTTTTTTTTAGCGGAAAATACGATCGAAATGCAGGAGGGAAAGTTTCTGTGTATCCGTTATCATGTTTCGAGAGATGAAGTTCATCTGGAAAAAACGATAACGGCTTTATATATTTTGTACATAATATTTCAGTGCTTAATTGGAGCCTTGGAAACATTATCTCTGTAATCGATTTCAAAATTGATTTATTGTTATTTTAGCTCAATTTAATTAATTTTTTGTTTGTTTCTATTTATGGGTTTGGAAAGAAGCAATGGTTAGTCCACTAAAAAAAAAGAAATATATAATGAAAGAAAAGATATTTTTTATAATGTTTTTGTTCATTAATATATAATATATTTTTATTCTATTGTATTATTTCAAATAATAATTAGTATTTTTCTTTCTCGTATAAATTTATAAATGCAATCTAGGATCGCCTATAGTAAACAGTTCGTTTAATCTTAATTTGTACATCTCATATTGCACGTGTAAGGCTTATACTCGTATGCGTGCGCGTTTTCTGCAAAACGTTTAGAGAATAATTACGTAAAAGGTCGGGAACTGTTCGAAGCAACTATCTCGTTGCGTGAATGGTTCTGTTCCTTCTTCTATGTTCGTATCGTTGACGAGCAATGGCCCTCGCGATTTCTCTCGATTGACTCGTTAACTGATTATGCCGGCGGCGTGGATGTGGATACGTATTACCGCGTTGTGCGTGTCTATCGGAACGCATATGGGCACTCTCAGAGTACGTTCCACCGCGCGCACAATACGTGTATAGTATAAACTTTCAGTTCCCGTATACTACGGAAACCCGATCTCGTTTGTTTCTCATTCACTATCGTTCCACGAATGAATGGGATACACGCGCTCGCGTATTCCATTTCAGTTTATTGAGCAATCATTTATAATAAAAATTAATTAATTTTCTAAATTTATTAATTTATGTAATTTATATATATCTAATAAAAATTATTACTTGAAAGGCATTGATTTAACGCTTTCTTTATTCACCATCGCTCTACGAACGAATGGAATATATTATTTTTGTCGTAATTCACATTAAATCGTAGTTCGTAATTTAATTTTTCTATTTTATATCAATTTCGCGTTTACTTATCAATTGTAACATTAAATTTATGAATGTTAGAATTTTTAAACAATATAAGCAAAAACGAATGTCGCTATTAAAAAGAAACGTTGATCAAACGCTATAGTATACGAGTGAGCAAAAAATCACGTAATCCTTGTCTTCTTCTCTTTGATTCTTTCCTCTTTTTTATATGGAAAACCTTTTTTCGCAGGTGGACATATAAATCCAGCGGTCTCGCTATCGTTCGCTTTGTGCAGACGGATTTCCCCACTTCGCGCGGTGCTCTATATAGCGGCACAATGCGGTGGCGGTATAGCTGGGGCGGCGATGCTTTATGGGTAAGTCGCATGTTCATCTTTAAGAATGTATCTCGCTACGAAATAATTCAATTTCTTGCGCAAAGTTGGTCGAGACTATCAACGATCATTAAATAAACGAGTATTAAAAATATTTTAAGATATTTTCGATCATTACCATTCCGTGCTCCGTTTAAAGCTATTAGCTATAGCTAATAATTGAAGATTATTTTCGTAAAAATATTAAGTATATTACGATATGTACGCACAGAATCTTTTCAGTATCTTTATTCTTCAAGAAAAGTGTAAGATTATTACAACAGTTGCATAATCTCTTTATTCCTGAGAAAGAAAACTTATCAAAATAAATCCGAATGTAATTTTCTCGCTTTTTTCATACCGATTTCTACAAGTTTTTAAAATCATCAATAAGTGTTTTTAAATTATTCTGACATTTAACCGATAATGAGCATAACTAGTTAATAAAATAATAGCAATTTTTCAATGAGCAACTTTACAACAACGGGTAACAAAAAGTCTCGATATTACTCGACGTGTAAAGTAGCATGGATCCTTAGCGTTGAGCGATATTAAGAGCAGAATGAGATACACTGTCTCGTGAAGACAGCTGCTAGATAGGAGAACCGGGAAGGCATGTGGCCCATCTAAAGTCGGGTCGAGTTTTCTTCCAAATGTTCGTATGGCGAGAGATTGGTAGGCTGAGCGAGTGTTTCGAGAGGAGCATAAATAATATCAATCATCGTGATTTTTATTTCGCATGATGATTATGTGTAACGGGGCAAGCGAACAAATATTTCCTCGAGTAATTTTGCATTTCGTCTTAAGCAAAATTTTTCATTAACGGTAAAACACATTAAGAATAATAAAACGAGTTTATCTTTATGAATAAAATATCAATCCATAACATTCAAAGAATTGTTTTCAATCTTGCGAACTGTGAAGAATATGTCTTGCACAGCTCCATGGACTATAGATAAGTTTCTTCCATATGAAACAGCTAGTATCGCGTAAAGTAAACAGCGCTTACTATCAAGCATATACGGTTTCGTATACTAACGCATTTCTTATGCAAATTTGACCGGAATATGAATACAAGGTTTGATAAAAACATTTCCTACATTATGCAATTCTCCATGCTATTGTGAGCTAAAGCAAAAACAATGTTTTTCTTATATTTTATTTTAATTATATACTTTTTTATATTATATTTTAATACGAAAACGGAAGCGTCAATGAAAAGCCATCTTTGAAAACCAAACGGTTTTTTACGTTTACTGTAAAAACGAAAAAATATGATTTACTTTTATGTTTTGAGATATGAATATTCTAATTCTTTCTTCAGAAATATTATGATATATAAAAGTGCATACATCTTCGAGCCATTTGCAAATCGCCTTCGATACATGTAAGCTAGTGCACGTGCCTCGATTTCGCCTATGGGCAAACGGCTTCCATTTCGAAGAGCGAGAAAAAAAATGAAAGGGGGAAGCTGTGTAGAAGCCACGCGCTGGACCAAGAGAAGCGGCGCATCATTCGGGAGAATGCAAGTAAGCTGCTCTTTGAGCAGCGGCAGCTGAGAAAGCTGAAAGAGAAGAAAGAGCGTGAAATGAAGCGAGAGCAACATTAAGCACGAACAAGATGAAAGAAGGCGATGATAGAAGGGAATGGCGATACAAAAAGAAATGTCTGGAATATAATGTCTATAATATAATTGCGCTATATTTATAATATCCGTTTAATCAGCAGAAAGACAGCGGAAAAATGAGCGATATTATTTTTTAATATATTAGAAATATATTAGATACACACACGTTCAAAAATGAAATATAGGTTGAGACTTTTATGGAAGAACGACTTTAATCCACGTTTCAGTTGAACGTACCTAATAATTTTTTTACTGAAAAAAATTGAGAAATAATTTTTGTTTCTCCTCCTTGATAATTAAGTAGGAGACGCGTTAAAACGCTCGAAGAAATGTAATAAGTTGACACGTGGGTTGTCCAATGAAAAAAATCGAGATCAAAAGACAACATCGAAGATGGAAAGAAGATATTACGAATGTTGTTCCATTAATGAATAATTACTAGAGAAATGTACAATTTTTTATAAAAAAATATAAAGAGAACGTTGGTTCGATAAAACTTTACCTGCTCAATAATTGAGAAGGAAAGGTGGACCGTGTTAAAACACCAAAGGAATGCAAGAAGTTGGCACGAGGGCAACAGGATGAAGGAGATCAAAACCTGGAGATAGAGGGCGGAGGAACGGAGGGAGGAAAGAGAATAAAAACGGCAATGTGCAGGGGGATGGTAACGAGAGAAGGCGAGAGAAAAAGTACGAAAGAGGCAGCGCGACGGAGGCGGAAAGAGAGTGACGGCGGCGAGGACGAGAAATGGAAGGAGAGTGGGAGAGGCAGAAAGAGGCACGCGTAATTGGCAGGCGAGGGAGAACCTCGGAAGGTGAGCACCTGCCTTGTACGAGGAGCCCGAGGTCCCGGCGGCGGTCCATCGCCTCGCAGCTGCCGCAGATGTTTCCCCGTGGACCAAAAAAGATCGTGCGGAAAAAGGAACGCGCGAGGCGGCGTACGGGCACCGTCGAACGAAAAGAGAAGACGAGGATAATGAACATCTATGCATGCACATACCGAGGTGGGACAAGTTTCACGGCATCGGGCCGATCGGGCCGTGAAGGAGGACACGACGCGAACGATTCGAGAGCGACGGTGCGCCACCACCGAGCAGATGTTCCCGCCGTTGCGGAGATCATTGTCCGTTCTTCGTCCGTCGTTTCGACTCCTTTCTTTGCCGGCGACGGATGTACTCTGCTAAATTTGGTTTTATGTACTGACGTGCCGTCGCGTGCCTCTATGCGCGCGCGTGACTCTTGTTTTTAAAATATTTAAACTATAAGCCAAAAATTTCCAAGTTTCTTCTTTTTTGAATAACAAATTTAAAAAGCTGTGGTATAAAATTCTGATAAAAAAAAATATCATTAGACTTATTGTTGTGACATTTTATTTTTATATACGAGCTTCAGAAATAATTTTTTATTTTACCCAATTACTTATCGCGATACGACAATTTGATATTTTGAAACTATATAATTGATATTCCGAAATTACGAAATACGAAATAATTAATTTTATTCATATTCTTGTTATTCTCTTGAGATTTTTTTTTTTTTTACTAAATTGGAATATATTGTCGAATTTAATGACTTACTTAGAAGCATATTTTAATTCTCAACTGCGTTATTAATATTAATAAATCACGTCTCATAAAGGCAAATAGAATGCGAAGAGGACTCTTATCATATTTCTTTCTGCTCTGCAATCTGCGTTACTTATCTTTGACCTAATATTTATTCACCATCTTTTACATTATTTTAAATTGCAATTTTTTTTCTAATTTATATATCTGGTATATTTGTACATATATTGCGGCAAATATACATATTTTTTTATGCATTTAAAATCTTTAATTTCTATATTTTTAATCTGTATACTTTCTTGTATTGATACTTTCATCTCCATTATGCCAAGTGACGCTGCGCGTGTTTCTATCTATCTCATCACGTCTTCTATCTCGTGACACTCGCCTGGTCACCCTCCGACCACCATATGACCGCACAAAGAGGTAACAAGTGCGCGATATGTACCGAAATAATAATCGAACAATACTCTAGTTAACCGG